GGTAAATATGATTTTATTAACTAACAACAACAATGACAACTATATTTTTTAGAGCAGTTTTAGGTTTACAGCAAAATAGGGCAAAATGTATAGAGATTTTCCCTATCCCCCTTCCTCTACACATGTGCAGCCTCCCCTGTTATCAACATCTCCCACCAGAGTGGTTTGTGAAACAGTTTATGAACCTACCTTGACACATCATTATCACTCAAAGTCATAGTTTACATTAGAGTCTACTCTTGGTGTTGTATATGGGTTTGGACAATTTTAGTGCCATTCATAATAATCTTGCTACCCTAAAAATCCACTGTGCTCCACCTGTTCCTCCTTCCCTCCTCCCTCATCCCTGGCAACAACTAAACTTTTTAATATCTCCATAGTTTTGCCTTTTCCGGAATGTCATATCATTGGAATCATACAGTATGCAGCCTTTTCAAATGGGCTTCTTTCCCTTAGTAATATGCATTTTAAGTTTCTTCCTTGTCTTTTCATGGCTTGATAGCTTTTTTCTTCCCTCCCTCCTTGTTTCCCTCCCTCCCTTCCTTCCTTTCTCTTCTTCCTCTTCTTTCCTCTTTCCTCTTTCTTCTTTCTTCTTCCATTTTTTTTTTGAGATGGAGTTTCGCTCTTGTTACTCAGGCTGGAGTGCAATGGCGCGATCTCAGCTCACCACAACCTCCGCCTCCTGGGTTCAGGCAATTCTCCTGCCTCAGCCTCCCGAGTAGCTGGGATTACAGGCACATACCACCATGCCCAGCTAATTTTTTGTATTTTTAGTAGAGACGGGGTTTCACCATGTTGACCAGGATGGTCTCGATCTCTTGACCTTGTGATCCCCCCGCCTCGGCCTCCCAAAGTGCTGAGATTACAGGCTTGAGCCACCGCGCCCGGCTCTTCTTCCATTTTTAAGAGACAAGGTGTCTCAGTCTATTGCCCAGGCTGGAGTGCAGTGACATAATCATAGTTTATTGTAGCCTCAAACTCCTGGGCTCAAGAGATCCTCCTGCCTTAGCCTCCTGAGTAGCTGGGATCACAGGGTCCAGTCATTTCTTTTTAGTGCTGAATAATATATCACTGTCTAGATGTACCCGTTCATTCACCTACTGAAGAATATCTTGGTTGCTTCTAAGTTTTGGCGACTATTAGTGAAATTGCTATAATCATTGTATCCAAGTTTTTATGTGGATATATGTTTTCAGTTCCCTTGGGCAAATACCAAGGCGTGCCACTGTTGGATCATATGGTAAGAGTATCTTTGGTTTTGTACAGAACTCTAGGTTGGTATTTTCTTCTCTCTCAGTATTTTGTTTTATTTTGAGACAGAGCCTTCTATGTCGTGCAGGCTGGAGTGCAGTGGGCTCACTGAAACCTCCGCCTTCCAGGTTCAAGTGATTCTTGTGCCACAGCCTCCCGAGTAGCTGGGATTACAGAAACGCGCCACCACGCTGCTGATTTTTGTATTTTTAATGGAGACAGCGTTTTGCCTTGTTACCCAGACTGGTCTCGAACTCCTGACTTCAACTGATCCACCTGCCTCAACCTCTCAAAATGTGTAGGATCACAGGCCTGAGCTACTGCTCCTGGCCTCTCTCAGTACTTTAAATAAATATTTCATTCCACTCTTCTTGCTTACATAGTTTCTGAGGAGATGTCATATGTAATTTTTATTTTTGCTCCTCTGTGGGCAAGTTGAGTTTTCCCTCCACTCTATCTTCTCAGGATTTTTTCTTTATCTTTGATTTTCAGTCGTTTGAAAATTATATGCCTAGGTGTCAGGTGTCAGGTTTTTTTTGTTTGGTTGGTTTTGTTTTTTTCAGATGTGACTCCAGAAACAATATAAAGAGGAGCTTTAGAATCTCTTTTCTGGGTTTTATGGAGACTTCCTTTACCCTTCTGTGTTAGCCCCTTAAAGCACTGCATCAACCTTAAAAGCACACAGGGAAGGGTGTCTATGCCATTTTTATGCCATTTATCCTGCTTGGTGTTTTCTGAACTTTCTTGATCTGTGGTTTGATGTCTCTTATTAATTTGTAGAAGTTCCCTGTCATTGTTTCCACTTTTTCTTCAGTTATTTTCTCTGTTTCTTCTTCTGGTGTATAGTTACACTTTTTGTAGTTGTCCTGCAGTTATTGGATATTCCATTCTGGGCTTTTTTGCCCCAGTCTTTTTTTCCCTTTGCTTCTCAGTTTTGTAGGTGTCTGCTGAGATATTCTCAAGCTCAGATATTCTTTCCTCAGCTTCGTCTAGTTTACTAATAAGCCCATCAAAGATATTCTTCATTTCTGTTACTGTCTTTTTGATCCCTAGCATTTTTTTGATTCTTTCTTAAAATTTCTATCTCTCTGCTTACATTGCCCATCTGTTTTTGCATGGTTTCTACTCTGTTCATTAGAGTTCTTAGGATATTTATCATAATTGTTTTAAATTTCTGTTTAATAATTCCAGCATCCCTGCAACATCCAAGTCTAGTTTTGATGTTTGCTCTGTCTCTTCCAGCTGTGTTTTTTCCTGTTTGTATGTCTTATTATTTTTTTCTTGATAGCCAGACATGATGTATTAGGTAACAGGAACTGCTATGAGTGGACCTTTAGTAACGTGGTATTAAGGTGTGCATGGAGGGGAAACATTTTCAGTCTGTTGGTGAACTTTTGTCAACTTCGCATGTGCTTCTCAAGTCCATCCTGTAAGTGGAACAGTAAGGCTTTTAAGGCTAGAGAGGACTGAAGTTGGGTATGGATTAAATACCTTCTCCTACAAAGAAGCTTAGAGGGTACACATTAGGGGATTTTTTCCCCCTAGTATTCACTGTGATGATCCTTATGGAGCTCCAGCAGGTAAAACTCACAAAACTGTGGTTGCCCCCACCCCTGCCCCGTGCCGATATTACTACATGTCCCTGGAGTTTATATCTTTCTGATTTGTCTGCACTTAGCTTCCACCAACTTGTCAAATACAGATAAGGTGTCCCTACCGCCCATGCAGTTGAAAACTCACATATACATTTTGACTCCCCCAGAACTTAACTGCACATGGCCTGCTGTTGACTGGAAGCCTTGCCAATAACATAAACAGTTGATTAACACATAGTTTATATGTCTTCTGTATTATACAGTGTATTCTTACAATAAAGTAAGCTAGAGAAAAGAAGATGTTATTTAGAAAATCATAAGGAAGATAAAATATATTTACTATTCATCAAGTGGTTCCTGTGGGTGCTGGTTCCCATAGAGGTTGACCATTGTGAGTTTTTGCTCAGGGAAGTTTTGATTCTCTATATTCGCCTGCTGGTCTCCTAATATGGGAGGCAGCAGTTTTCCCTGTGACCTCACCTCCCTCAAAGATGTAAGGAAGAGTTGTTGATTTTTCAGTTTGTTCAGTGTTTTACATGTTAGAACACAGTGGTACTTCCAAGCTTCTTAACATGCCAGATCAGAAACCTGAAGTTTCACCTGATTTGGCTTTTTATATTTTTTCTCCTTTTTTTTCCTGTTGCTACCGAAAGCATTTTTAAATCTGTATCTGGGATGACATTAGAGCAGAATGTGTTATCTAAGTAAACATTATTGGGCTCTCTAGCAGAAATAATATTTTTGAAAGTAATGCATGAATTCTGTATAATTAAAGTTTTCTTTTCATCTTAACAGGTATAGGTAATAGGCATGGCCTATTTTTTTGCTCAACAGACTAAAATAGTAATCACCTAATATATTACCTTAGTTATACAGTTGAAAGATGAGTTGAAAATCTGATTCATGGGTTGGAAATCACCTGTCATATATGAGTTTTAGGCATTGGTCACTTTGTTTTGAAACAGCTTTGGGTTTGTTTTTTTTCTTTTCTTTTCTTTTCTTTTTTGAGACGGAGTTTCGCACTAGTTACCCAGGCTGGAGTTCAATGGCACAATCTCGGCTCATCGCAACCTCTGCCTCCTGGGTTCAAGCAATTCTCCTGCCTCAGCCTCCTGAGTAGCTGGGACTACAGGCACGCACCACCATGCCCAGCTAATTTTTTTTATTTTTTTATTTTTGAGACAGAGTTTCACTCTTGTTACCCAGGCTGGAGTGCAATGGCACAATCTCGGCTCACCACAACCTTCGCCTCCTGGGTTCAGGCAATTCTCCTGCCTCAGACTCCCGAGTAGCTGAGATTACAGGCACACGCCACCATGCCCAACTAATTTTCTGTATTTTTAGTAGAGACGGGATTTCACCATGTTGACCAGGATGGTCTCGATCTCTTGACCTCGTGATCCACCTGCCTTGGCCTCCCAAGGGTTTTTTTTCTTTTCAACTTCTAATGGACTTTAACAGCTTGTAGTTTAGGTGGGTTTTTTTGTTTTGTTTTTTTTTGTTTGTTTGTTTTTTTAACAAAATGAGTTGTCAAATTTGGTTATAGTTGCTTGATACAAGATGGGTAAAGTTGCTTTGCATTGTGTAATTACTTTTCATTTTAAATGCTGCATCTTTTATGCAAACTTTACACTAAGATTAGGAAAATCAGAATTGTATGTCTGCAACAAATAGCAATCTCTAGTATTAAACTGTGACAATGTAGAAATGGGATCTCTTAATATGTAATTGTAACATAGAGTAAGTAAGTATTTTGTCCCTTGTAAGGTCAAACAGTACAGTACAGGCAGAATTAGAGATGTAGGCTTCCCCGCCCCCTTAGAGAACCATTTGATCAGCTAATATGGAATTAAGTCCTTAGGGCTCCCCTAGGCACAACAATAACTGCTAGAAAAGCAGGTATTAAAGGAAAATTTAAGACTATTAGTGAAGGTTAGTTTTTGACCATGGACATCTGGCAAAATTAATGTTTTCTTTCTCTCCACCATTGTTTATCTTTTATTATTATTTATCAGAGAATTAATGTTTCTTTTCAGAATCTATTAACATAAGAAATCCATTTGAGGACTTAGTATGTGCCAGGAATTCTGCTAAATAATGATGATATGGTGCTGAAGACAATTAGATGGGATCCCCACTTCGTTAAGCTTACAGTCTAGTGGTATAGATCAACATTAATCAAAGAATAACACAAATAGAAAGCAGAGCAGTGGTTCATGGGATTGACTGCAGAGAAGCATGAGGGAAGTTCCCAAATGATGGGAAATACTTTCTTTTCTTTCTTTTTTTTTTTTTTTACCAGTCATCTTTTATTTGGAGGTTAATTCCATTAGGATATGAAAGGATTCAGAAATAATCGAGACTGTGTTCCTTATGGAGGGGTTCAAGCCAAGAAGGTCACGGACGGGAGTGCAGAGCTTGTCTTCAGTGGTACTTGCGTCACCGCTCGTGCTTGAGTTCCTTGTAGGAAATGGTGTAGTTGAAGACTATGTAGCATGCCAGCACCATGGTAAGCCCCGCGATGCTCCCCTTCTTCACGTTGATATATTTGTTATAGTACCGGTAGTAACCTCTTCGAAATGCTCTGACAATGCCACTAGGGCTGAAGTCCCGCATCAAGATCCAGCTTGGCAGCTCTCCTAGTCTGACCTCCAGAAGTTTCCTGTCCTTCAATGGTACAATTGACGCCATCTTGGAGTACTGGTGTCCGCTGTGCCCGGCCGCGCGGGGGAAATACTTTCTTAATCATGGTAGTTACATGTGTGCATATGTTTATGAAAACATATTATACCTTTAAAACGGATGCATTTTATCACATGTAAATTATGACTCAATAAAGTTGATTAAAAATAATAACTCAAGTTAGGCAAGGTGGTATGTGTACCTGTAGTCCCAGCTATTCCTGAGACAGGAAGATCACTTTGAGCCCAGGAGTGTGAGTTCAGCATGGGCAACATGAGACCTATGATCTTGTCTCTAAATAAATTTAATTAATAACTAAGATAAATGTAAAATTACAGCTGTAGTAAGTTCCACAAAGGAGAGTTACATGGGCTGTGACGATGTATGATAGGAAGAACTGACATTGGCAGGGAGGAAATGATGAATAGAAGTAAATAAGTGAAGTGTGGGGATTAACGTTAAGGGGATGACATAAAAGAAATAAGAGCATGTGCCAAAGCCCTGAGATTGGAAGGTCCTTGGCAAATTAAAGGAGCTTGAAAAATGCCATTGTGTGCAAAGCAGAAAATAGGTACTACAAGGTAAAAGACGGAGCTAAGGGGTAGGGAAGGCTAAACCTTGGCGGCCATTGTTAAATATTGAATTGTATCCTAAGCACAACTCAGTGGAAAGCAGTTAAAGTTCATTAACTGGGGGAGGCAATGAAGGGGGTAATAAAATTGGTTATAGAAATACTGCTCTGGCTATAGTGTTGAGAATGAGTTGGAGTAGCCAGAGTAGATTCAAGACTTTAGTAAGATTATTCCAACAGGCCAGGACCTGTTCTAGGGTGGTGGCAATGGAGAGAGAGATGGACAGAATGGAGAGTGTATTTAGTAGGTAAAATGACAGAACTTGGTGATGCACTGAATGTGGGAATGGGGGAGGTGTCTAAGAGGACTGCTAGGTTTGCATATTAGGGTGGATGATGGTGGTTTCATTTACAGAGACAGGGAGCCCTGGCAGAGGACCCAGCTTTTAGAGTGGGTAGGGGGAAGAGGAGACTGCATCTGGTGTTGGGCATTTTGAAGTGATTTACATAAAACAAACTGAAGGTATCTTTAACACTGAGTCCAGCTTAGCATATTTATTCAGCAAGCATTGCGCCCTTTGTTTTTGGGGTCTTCAACTCTTGGCCTCGGATCCACCCCCTCCCGGCCTCCGCCTCCCAGAGTGCTGGGATTACAGGAGTGAGCCACCGCGCCTGGCCAGCATCGCGCTGTTTGTGCAGTGTGCCCTGTGCTAGGTTTGTAGTGGGTACCAGTAGAGCCATAAAAATACAAAAGATAATTGGACGTTTAGTAGAGTCCTGAAAAGGAGAAGAAACCTAACCATAGGAAAAACCAGCAAGAGGAGAAAAGGCGCTCGTCCTCCAGATCAGTAAGTTATATCACTTATGTCTGTGATTCCCTGCATTTTGGGTGATTCTCTGTCGAGGTCCTCCAAGTCCAAACTTTGGATATAATTTGCAGTTTGCGCCATTTGGATTCCTGAAGCATCTTCACAAGCCACCTACATTCCTTATGGAGCTGTGGCACAACAGCAAGCCCACGATGTCTCACCGGATTAATAAAAACAGAGGCGCCCACGCTTTTGTTTACCGATACAGTATTTCCTCCTCCCCTCACTACCTCAACCCCCAGGCGACACAGCTTTTCGGAAGTAAGCAAAATCCGTTATCAAGATGAAACTCCGGGGCCCAGGCCCTACAGCTGCCGGGAACTCACGCTAGAAGCCGGTGGGTGTACGTGAGGCACGCTGGTGCCCACGGGCCCTTCTCCAGTCGCTGCTTAGTGGGAATCAGCGGCCCTGGAGCCCCGAAGCCAAGCCGAGCTTCCCAGAGCGCAGCCTCGCTTTCCCAGGGCAGCCCCAACGCCGCGGAAGCCGCTTGTCCCCAGGCACAGTTCCCCTAGGTGAGCCCCCGCCCCTCGCAGAGGCAGCTGGGTCGCGGGTCTGGGCGTGGCCCTCGAGACGCCCGCCCGCCGCTGCGCACTCTTCCCGCGGGCGGCTGGCTCCCTCGGCCTCTCCACCCAAAATTGGCCCAACCGCCAATCGTCGGCCGCTCACCTCCTACAGCAGGTGACCCATGGCCAATCGCCAGGGGTCTCTTTGCCAGGAGCCGCCAGGGCCAGCCAATCGGGACGGCCCCTCCGCCGGGGAGGGGACAAAACAGGGGTTGGGGGGTGAGGTGGGGGTGTCCCGAGGGACGGGCTAAACCTCACTCTGGACCGCCTGCGCCGCAGTCCGGGGATCTGGTCGAAAGGGGAAGAAACTGGGGTGCCGGGAGCAGCCCCCGGCTCCCTCCCCTGGAGGCACAGAGGGCGGGGGCCTTGGCGAATGGCTTTCTTGCTGGCCACTGGCGGAGTGAGTAGACCCGGAGTATCTGGGAGCGGGGCCAGCCCCCACCCCTGAGTCCCCAGGGCCAGGCCGGGGCGCGAATGTCTAGCTCACCCTGCCTCCTTCCCTCGGCCCTCTGGGGTGAGTAGGACGACGTGGCTACCCGGGCCCCTCTTCCTGGGCAGCTCTCTTCACTTCCTCAGCTGACGTGGGGTGGAGGCTGAGGCCAGGGCCTCCAGTTCCACCGAGAGGGCATTCGCCTCCAAAGCAGACTCTGGAGGAAATCTTGTTTTTTAAATTCATTTTTGTGGAACTCTTATTTTCTTTTTGAAAGCTGTCTCAATATGATTTTAAGCAGAAAAGTTAAGCCTTCCCTTACGTGAAAGCTTAATGCGAAAGCTTAATTTAGACCAATTGCCCATTAGTAGTATCTCCAGTTGCATTCCAAGTGTTTTTTCACGGTGTTTTAGTTTTGGCACCGTGTTCATGCCTGGCCCTGTATTTTTTGTGCATAAAGTAATTATGGTTGCTATTGTTTTTGAGTACGTATGTAGGGAAGCGGGTGATTTTATGCTTTTTGGGTAGCTTGTGCAAAAATACTGAAAACTTTGGTATAGTTTATGGGGTTCTCAGCCCAGTCGAATTATGGAAAGTTGAGAATAATTAATGAACTAGAAAGCATATTTGAGTAATGCACTTTTTTGCTGACATTCATACTGTATTACAAATATTTCTTATGAAAGGCTGAGAGATGTATTGAACAAGAAAACTAGTTTTTGCTCATTTGGAGTAATACTTTGTTTTGCTTTTTGATTAAACTTTACTTTTAGCTGTATTAAGGAAGTTAAAAACAAATCAAGTAATGTCTAGTTTCTCAGTGGAGAAGCTGGAAGGATCTTAGAGTAGTAGTTGCAGTTTTAGGAATTTTTACAGTGAACTTTAAAAATGGAAATTCTCACGTAGTTATGTATGAATAATCTCTCTTGAACACTGCCTAGCCTATAATGAACTAAGTAGGTGGTGAAGCCCTTTAATGAATAGTGTTATCTGTCATTTATTTTTATTTTTTATTTTTATTTTTTTTGGTGCACCCCAACAGGAGACAACCTAAATAAAAATACCATATTACCTTTCCTTGTCCAGGGAAGGTACATGCATCATTAAATCAGATTTGGGCCAGACGTGGTAGCTCACACCTGCAATCCCAACGCTTTGGGAGGCTGAGGCAGGAGAATTGCTTGAGCTTAGGAGTTGGAGACCAGCCTGGGCAACAAAGCCAGAACACTGCCCCTGCCCCAATAAAAATTTTAAAAAGCTGAGCACAGTGGTGTGCACCTGTAGTCCCAGCTGCTTGGGAAGCTGAAATGGGAGGATCCCTTGAGCCCAGGAGTTGCAATGAGCTGTGATCGCACCACTGAACTCTGGCCTGGATGACAGAGAACAAGATTCTGTCTCAAAAAACAAAACAAAACAAAATCTCTTAAAAAAAAAAAACAAAAAACAAAACAAAAACAAATTTGTAGTCTGATTTGAGAATTTAAATGAGAAACAAGAAAGATACCATACAAGTTGCATCTGTTTCCAAAGTGTCCTGAGTTTGGCTTTGACAGAGATGGCATTGTATTTGAAAATGCCCTTCAGTAAATACTAGGCTGCAAAGGCTGTCTGCTGGTCCCATTCACTTGGGTATTTCTAAAGTTTTATGGTTTTTTTTAATGTGAAACTTTTCAAATTTTTATAATGTGAAAAGATGATTATATTTTGCATGCTCAGCCATCCCCACTTCAACCTCTGTTGATGTGAAGAATAGCAGGGAATTTAACTGTAAGTTTGGTTCAGCCAGGAAAGAGCATTATTTTTTTGGTAGCACCATGTTCTGCTGGATGGAAAGTCAGGCACTCTCATGGTTTACACTATTGATTAAGAAAGGGGACAATGACAATAAAGCAATCTGATAATCAGGCTTTTATTCTGAGAAGCAAGCTCTAGGATGTCCCCTGAGATATGTTGAGCTCTGTCAATTGCTAAACTTTATACTGTAGAGTGATAACATGTTTATGATGATTCTTTATATAAAGACTTTATGATTACTGTAGTATACTTAGAAAATTATATTTGGGAAGATTTTCAGTAAAGGTTTAAACAGATGTTATGCTTGAAAGAATAGTTCTTATACTAACAATGCAATTAACCCTAGTATTCCTCCTTGAATATTTTAATCAAGTTCTACACACAGTCATTTAAAGCTGCTTTCCATCTTATTTTCCATCTCCAGTCACCAGAGGTCCTATTATATTTACCTTAGTAATATTTTTCAGATTCAGCACTTTTTTTCTAGATGATAATACCTTAATTCAGACCCTTATGGTCTCTTACCTAGACTTTCACAAGGCTTTCTGGCTAGTCTGTCATTGGACTCCCCTTACCTGTCATTTTTATCCAAAAACAAATTCGGAGTGGATTGTCACTCTCATAGCTAAGAATGTGTATTGGCTCCCCCTCGCCACAGCATGTCCAGCTGCCCAGCATGTCCTGGAGGCCCTTCTTCATAGTCTGGTTCCGATTTATATCTGCATCCTGACTCAGTTTCAGGTGCTTTACTCACGACATCTGCTGTGAACTGTTTCTCACTGAGAACATGGCATAGCCTCCTACAGTTGTTTGTCTTTTCACA